TTCAAAAAGGTAAATAAGTATTTAAGATTTTAATGTGGACTATATTTGAGATACCAATACATTTATTATTTCAGATCATGTTAAAATAAATTTGAGACTCCAAGTTTGAAAAGTGTACTATTAGCAAAAACATGCAAAAGAAAGCTTTTTGACTCCAATTATATTTTTGAAGGTAGTAATTATATACTATTGACTTATTCATTTTAAAATGTATGAATAATTTAGTATGTGATTTTTATATTTAAAATTAAGAATAAAAAATAATTCTTTAAGCTTTAGATATTTAAGTATTCACTATTGAGTATTTTAATGTTGGATTTGTGTATGTTTTAGATGACTCAGATAATTTCATCTCAAGTCGTTAATTCAATTTAAAACGTCATTCCAATGAAATTGATAGAAATTCAAATGGTTCAAATTCTCCTGATGAAGCATGTAAATCTACTAATTATTATCAAGCTGAGAATTCTACACGCCAAAGTACCTCAATACTTATTTATGTTTTAAGATTAATTTTATATTGTAATACTTCATAGGTATTTGTTATTAAAATCATTATATTTATATTATTCATTTTTTTTTTTATTAATTTAGTGCTTTCACTGAACACTCCTCAGATGTCTAATACAGTAAATAAACCATATGTTAATTATTCTGCTCAACCGGATTTTACAGTTACTGGTAATTCCCTGGGTAATTATTAATTAAGATTTTAGACAAAAATAATGTATATAATATTTAACAGTTAATATTATTTTTTGTAGGTTCAAATGTCAAACAATCTATAGTTTATACTTCTTCGTCCCCATTTAAAGTAACTTCAGAAATTAATGATGACTATCCATCAAACAATATGATGAATGAACCTAAAAAATCAAATAAATATAATTCTGGTATGTTATAAAAGTTATATAATAACTAATAAGTGATCAAATCAGTATAAGTATATGTACCATAAAATGTAAAAATGTGTGCTCCAGTTCTTAATGCATTTAAAATTATTGATAGTTCAAAAAGATATAGTTTTATGTTGTTGGTAAGTTATATGAGTTTTAGAAGTAAGCATTAATTTCAAAGAAACATGTAGTCATGTAGATAATTTTCATAAATTAACACTCAATAAGGTTGAGCTATATAAATATATATATATATATATATATATAATCTTATAAAATATTAATTAGGTATTTTTGCATCTCAAATACTTAAAGTTAAAGCCAAGCTAAGTAAATGTATGTTTATGTATAGATCAGTTGTTTGTATTAAATAATTATAAAATATAATAAAAAATTTCAATTATATTTTTTACTAAAACGCCAATTATTAATTGTATTCACTTCGCATTTTTTATGCACAACAAAATAGGGAATATATTAGTTTGGTAAGTTTTAGGTTCAAGTGGTATAAATATTAGATACACAGAAAAGCATATGTATAAAGAAGGGTCTAGTGGGAGGTCTACACCTTTACTACAAGATAACATTGAAATAGTGGCACCATCAGTACTTCCTTCTACTATGCAAAGCTTTGATACTGGTTAGTATAAATTTAGAAGTGTCCTTTTCTTTATTGTTTTATTATAAATTTGTTCTTATTGTTAAATATCTTTTTTTCTTTATTACAGAAATTGTTAAACGTATATTACAAGTAGTTTCTAAAATAAGTTATGATGTTGAAAGTTTGGGTCAAAAACTGTAACAAATGGATAAAAAAAATAGAAGAAAGTTGTTTAATTAAATCAGC